TAAACTTAAAACTCTCCGGGGTGCCTGGCGGACCCGGTCGGCAGAGGGTGTGACGCGTGATCTCGGGGTGGTGAGTTCGAGCCCCACCCTGGGTGGAGCGATTACTTAAAAATAAAATCTTCGGAAAGAAATCTTCTGCACAGATGCAAACACTTGCCTGTCCATGCAAGCTCCGTTGAACCTCGGCGACAAAAATGGCCAATTCTCTTGTCCCTAGTCCAATTCCAGATGCTTGGTGGGTCCTCACGCGGTGATTTACAAGTTAGAAGTGGGTTACTTGCTCATTTAGCGCCCTGTCCCTGGTCCTCTCTGTCGTCACCACCAACTGCAGAGGAAGGGGACGCAGCGGCCCCAGGTAAAAATGATCGCTACACGCCCTCCACACCTGCTGATTCTCCCCTCATTCTGTGCTTTCTTATTGTCTTTGGCTGCGGCCCATAGCCAAGTGTGATGCAGCCATCAATAGTCACTTCACCTCCATCTGATGTCCTCCTCTCTGGAACTCGCTTAATTACTAGCTAAGTGACCTGATAATTTGTACGGCCAGCAGTATTGTAAGCCAGAAAAAATTAACTAGATATTCGCCACAGATAATCTTGACATAATAGAAGAGGGTTTGTTTGGTTTTTTTGGTCTCGACCCAAAAGAATCACAAATTGGGGCGGGGCGGGGGGGGTGGGACTAGAGTAGGTCAGGCTCCAGGAGATACATTCTTAGGGGGTTCTTTTTCATTGGCTTTCAAATCCTCTCACTTGTTATAACCGACTCCATTCATGGGTGAGGCTAAACCAGTTTTTTTCATCTGAAAAGTGAATGGACTACAATAGATGCATTCTAAAACCCCTGTGACAAAACCACCCTTCGGCCACCAGCAGTGTGCAGGGGCCAAATTTACTTTGCCATTGTGTGGTCGTCATTGGGGGAGAGGGAGAGAGTAAGGATCTGTGAAAAGAAGGTAGACACTCTCCCTGCCAGTGATCCAGAGAGAAGGTGGGAAACCACAGAAGAAACATGCCAGCGTTTTTCTGGGCATCGGGTTTGGAGATCAATGAATTTCACTGTCTGCTAAGAGTATTTTGACTAGTGAGCGAAAAGATAATCTTCCAGAATGGAGGGCTGGGTGGGAGCTCGACAGGGAACTACAGACACAGAATTCAGACGCAAAGCAGTCCTTCCCATTGGATTCCATGTATATGAAGGTCAAGAACAGGTTAAACTAATGGTCAGAAGAGTGTTCCTCTTGGAAGTGAGTATCGCCTTGGAAAAGGGCAGCCTTCTGGGCTGCTAAAAACATTCTATACCTTGATCTTGTGGAGAGTTCTGTAAGTAGTTACATTTGTAAGCATTCATCAAGCCATACGCTTAAGGTTTATTTACTTCCTGAATGTTACATCTCAATACAAATTTTAAAACATCTTAAATAGATTCCAAGAAAAATGAAGGTTATTGAATTCCTGGTAGAAGAAAAACTTGGTAGTTTTCTAAATGTATGTAACCTGTTAGGTTTAGTTTCCACCTATAAGCACTAAGCTTCTAGAAAAAAGAAAAAGACCTTCCAGCCTGGTTTGTGGGTCACTGTGGAATGGTCATGTGTCCTCACCTGAGCCAGCCATAGAGCCCAGCACAGTAGAGGCTGTGGTGATTTGAAAGATTGGTCAGAAATCTAGAAGCTGGAAACTCGAACTGCCCCTCCTCATAGAACATTCTCTCTCCATTGCCAACCCAAGGGGATCTGGGTTCGATTCTGCTAGGGAGAACAACAGTTTCCCTTCCCGGTCCCTTCTGTACTTTGGTGCTCGTGATCCAAGATCCTAACAGCAGCCCAAGAGCCAGGATGTGTATGCTATCACCAGGGAGACGAGCTGAGAGCCATGGGACCTTGACCGTGCCCGAACTAGGAGCCAGCCCCAGCATGGAGACAGCCTCCACGAGCCAACCAGAGAGAGAGGTTGGTCCAGCTGGAGCGTGCCTTGCGCTTAGCACAGAATCTTGCCAGTAGAGACCCGCAGAGACCGTATGTTGGACCCTCCCGTGGGAAAGTCTTTACCTAAAGGGATGATCTCCCTTTTCTAGTTTAGATCAGCCGCGCGCGCTAACAAAGCTTTCTACTCGCCACGGTTTTTAACCATTGGCCTTAAGAGGTGTTTCCAATTCCGTTTTGTTCACGATAAATGGCAAGGTTCAGCTCCATTTCCTCCACCTTGAAGGCGTTTTTGGTGCCTTTGTGTAGGCCTAACACACAGGCCTAACGTGGCCTCTAACACAGTGAAACTTGGAATTAACGAGCCTCTGCGTGACCGTGTTGGGCCGGCGCAAATGGGACACCCGCAGCGAGTGACAGAAACCCCCAAACCAACCAACTCAGCAGGAATGGAATGTGGGCCCCTGCCCCCCGCCCACTGAACGCCTGCCGAGTGGGAGGAGGGGAGGCAGTCCCCCCAAGAGTGTGGGGAGGGGGGGTGCAATTCTTGTCCCAGAAGGCCGGGGTGCCGGGCAGACAAACATGTCTCTATAACGAGGCTCAAAAACATTTAATACCCCCAGACCACAGAGGCTCTTCCCTGCACCTTTTTCGGCACCGCATAT